GTATTTACATAATTGAAGGGTGACCTTAGAAGTCATCCGACTACAGCTACCCAAAAAGCAAAATTGGCTCTTTGACCATAGAAATTTCACCGTTTGTGACTCCTTTTTTTTGGCGCTTTGATAACCGCATTGCCAGACTTTATACATTCAGGACAGAACCATTGACCCTTAGGGGCGACTGTTAAGCCAACGCAGGTGTAATGGAACCACTCAAAAGGGCAATTTGGTGCATCACAGGCGATCATGTCTCCATAGCTAACCTCTCGACATAGACAATAGCGTTTGTTATCCTCGTCATCTTCTTCATCATCATCCTCTTCTCCTTCTACTTCATGGCCCACTCGAGACTCACTATGTCCACTTACAAGTTGACCAAGACGTGAGTCTTCATTACCAATTATGTCCGATTTGGTCCCACTCAAAATATTTTGCTTGACTTCCTGTTCATCCTTGTCCAAGCAAGAGTGAAGACCAGGACAAACAAGTGAAGTTGCCTCCGCAGAGCGAGAAGGGGGAGCCCCTCGCACCGAACGTAGAGTACCACCGGCTGGGCCAGGAAGACAAGGACCTCCACCAATATTGCCAGACCCATCCAAAGCATTGGAAGACCTCACGTCTAGATCACGCGAAACTGTGGTCGAAAGTGTCTCTTCGAAGGGAGCGAAAGATGTGGAGAGAGATGCGGAAGATGAAGAAGAACCTTTAGAAAGTGATCCCACCGGGTTACCTCTAATATAAGCTGTTGTAGAAGCTGCTGATTCTACGAGAGAACGATCACTTAGCCCAGCATTAACAGATCGAGGAGTTTCGTTCAACCCACCGGCACTGTCAAGGCTAAGCAAATCATCGAGAAGGCCACCAGGAGCATCACAATCGTTTGTCTGAATATGAGGATCTATAGCTGTGATGCAAGGTAGAAATCATTGAAGAAAAAATGTATTTAAAAATATTAAATAATTTTCAAAATTTGGATGTTATATCTAACAGAAAATAGTTCACATCACTGCTATATATACATATATATAAATATATATACTGAAAAAATTGCTTTCAGCCTAACTGACTTAGTTTGTTTACCAGCCTATTCTATGGCTAACTAGCCATACCTGGCTATCCTAATAAAATAGTATTTCTACTCATTAGATATCTGCCACATAAATCAATATGCCAGTTGCGAAAGACTTAACGCAATTTTGTTGAACAATTAGTGAAATAAAGTACTAAAGTAAGTGATAATTATTTCTAATAAAAACGTGCGAAAATTAAATGCGACAGAATAGACTAAAAAACTAAGTGTAGCATCTTCATTATCCTCATGAAGGATGTGTTTCAATCAACAATTCCGTGCTAGTATTGCAAGTCATAGAATAACCACAATAGAATATTTGAGAAAATGGTCTTTCAAATACGAAATACGATAATAAAATGGCCCACTAACAGGGTGGGTGATAGATAAGGAATGCAGAATACTCATAGAAGAATAATTAAAATGTGATTCTATGTCATTGAAATAGGGGTGAAAAGAGAGAAATTGTTAGATGCTCACCCAGACTACTTTCACCGTGATATCAAAACTGGAATGTGGTCACTAAATTCTTGCATGAAAGAATTGAATTGCCTAAGTAATCCAATATATTTTTATTTTACACATATATAAGTAGGTTTTCGATAATACCAGTAGAGCTAACATAAGATACGTATTTACCTATTAGGTAATGAAGGACTAGTAGTTGAAATCGCATACAATTATCCTATTAGAAATAATATTTCCATAAAATTGCGCACAAACAGGCTTCTCACATGAAATTTTGCTCCAGGACGTACTTAAGTTTTTACCTCGCCCAGGTCTCTATTAATACCCTTAGCGGGACTCTACCCTGACAAACACAGCTAAAAGTCTAGACACGTTAGCCACAACTCTGCTGTCATGAGTGCCCTTGGGTCATGGGGTTCCAATATCCAATTTCTCTAGTTGGACGATCTACGAAGTGAAGTAGTATTTGCTTTATCAATCGACCGCATTGCTTATTCTACGCCTTTATAAGTGGGCTTTCGGGACCACTACAAGAGCAGACATAAAAGCAGTATTCAAAATATTTATGAAGAAAAAGTGGGTTTCGAAGAATTCCTTGATTTATTGTGAGT